GTTCGCACGTCTGGAAATGTGGGGTTTAAAGTGTTCGCACATCTGGAGATGTGGGGTTTAAAGTGTTCGCACATCTGGAAATGTGGGGTTTAAAGTGTTCGCACATCTGGAAATGTGGGGTTTAAAGTGTTCGCCCATTTGGAAATGTGGGGTTTAAAGTGTTCGCACATCTGGAAATCTACCCATTTCACTGAAAAGGTGAAGCTGGACGTGTCATAAACCAAAACCCCTTCTTCCAACCATATCACCCCCCCATCCTCCAGCAGCTTCCCTGGCTCCCCGTCACCCGAAAAATCCAATTCAAAATCCTCCTGACATCCAGAATACCGACTCTCTCCCTCTTTTAAAAACAAAAAACTCAAAACCCACCTGTTTAAAGTTCTTTTGTGCCTCTATTGTCAGTTATTTTGAATCAGTTTACTTTCCTCCAACAGTACCAGGTGATTTTCCAAAAGCAAACGTTCCCCTCATGGGCCGCTGCCTGCCTACATTTTCCATATAAAACCACAAATCTTCATTACATGTAACCGACCACATTCTTTTTCTTATTCTTATTATTTCCTCTCGTGCTGCCCCTCCAGGAGGCAGTTCAGAGGACGCCCCCCATTAACTAGCATTCATGGAGCCCTTTGGGTCTAACACTTTAGCCTCTTTTTCTCACTTTGCTCCGTTTTGCGTGCATCTTTGTGCTGATTTCCTGCATCAGACGGCTTCCTTTAACCCTTTAAAGCCAGATTCAAGAAAACTAGGAAGAATATTGGATTTTTTTTTGTCTGGAGTCTTTCTTTGGCCCCTCAACAACATATGAAGAAAAAAAACAGAAATTATTTTGATCAAATTAACGCGCAATAAGTCAGTAATATATTTCGGTGTGGTCTTCTACTGGCTGTTATCAGGTATATCTGAATGTGTACAACAGGGGTTTGAGCAAAGCTTTTACCACTGAATGATGCAAAAGGTCTCAGATCCAAAAGACTTCAGAAACCGTATCAAATATGATACATTTGGCATTATAGGGTTAAAGTTTCCGTCTGATCAAAACCTCTGACCAATTGACAAAGCAGCACAATCTGATGTTTTCAAATGTCACAATCTGCACGTTAGAGAACCTCCTGCTGTATCTCACTCCCCGTTTTCCCCCCGATATGTTTTCCCCCTTTCTCAGTGGGATGACAGAGTTTTGTTCCTGGTGGAGGAAACAAACCGAGGTTCTTAATAATTGATGTCCGGGTGTCCGTCTGTGCGTGTGTTTGCAGGTTGAGGTTTTCCCGGGATGCAGTCTCTGTTCGGGGGCGGCGAGCTGGGGCTGCTGGGGGGAATATAGCATGGCAATATAGACATTAATTTAAAAATAGTTAAATGAATCTTTCAAACACTTAATTAAACTCTATACATATTATGTTAAAATAGTGTATATTAAATTGGTTTGTACAATAAGTCCAAACAAGTTTAACCAAAAAATATTTATTTCTCACAATTATGAAGGCTGGAGGGTTGGGATTAGGTTCATTAATGTGGGCCACCAGTCACGATAACATCAGTAACAGGTCAGTTTGAAATGAAAGACACAATTCAGTTAAATTTTGGGGTCTTTGTTTGGTATCGAAAATGGTATCGAGTATCGAGTATTTTCCTGAGTATCGGTATCGAGGTGAAAATTTTAGTATCGTGACAACCCTAGACGGCAGAGTTTAGTTCCTGGTGGAAGGAAACAAACCGAGGTTCTTAATAATTGATGTCCGGGTGTCCGTCTGTGCGTGTGTTTGCAGGTTGAGGCTTTCCCGGGATGCAGTCTCTGTTCGGGGGCGGCGAGCTGGGGCTGCTGGGGGGGGGGCGGCGAGGGCGGCGGCCTGAAGGAGGACGGCTGCGGCAGCATGGCCTGGAGAGCCTCGCCCCTCCCGCCCGAGGACGTGTACTCGGCCTCGCACTTCGCCCTCATCACCGCCTACCAGGACATCAAGACCAGGCTGGGCAGCCTGGAGCGGGAGAACTCCAGCATCAAGAGGAAGCTCAAGATCTACGAGATCAAGGTAGGAGACCTCAGAGTCCGATACTCCGCTGTTTTTTTCTGGGATCCGACAGTTTTTCGGCTGGTTTAGCTGATTCATTTGAAGTAATTTGACTGGTTTTTACACGTAAGCGCTGTTAAGGTTTCTGCCTGGTTCCACCTTAATTCCTCCCGGTCCTTATGGAGACCTTATGGAGACTTGGAAAATGAACAGAAGAGGTCTTTAACTCATTGACTGCCAAAGACGTCTATAGACGTCTTTTATGTTTTTCAACTTGAGTGGCTTGGGGGACGATCGGCTAAAGCTTGTCCGTAAATATCAGGCTTCTAGACAGAGTATGTAGTAACAAATTGACCCTCTAGGGGGCAGTGCCACTTTTGATGGGAGATGAGCATAGACACTAGGCAAATAAGAAAAAGGTAACGGTTCGCTATGAGAGAACATGTCGCCGGTGAGACGCAAGTCGAGAAAGAACGGAATAAGGTAGAAACAATTTTTTTTTCCTGATGAAAGAA